AGAGTTTATGTGTCCTCACCAAATTCATTCTCACAATTTTAATGTGACATGGCATTGTAAAAAATATGACATGGCATTCACACCAAACACTTCAAAAAATCGGCCCAATATTCATAAAAATATTATTCATATATATAACCAAACCTATTTATATTAGCCCAAAATTTTAGAATACTTGTTCATATAAATAAATTTTAACTGAAATTTATGAAAAAGAATTAAAGAGCTTTTATTATGTTTTGTGACAAAAACTTTGGAAATTTAGAAAAACAAAATATACGTATTCTTAAAAAAAATAAATCTAACATAAGACAATTTGAAAATAACAAAATCATTTAAGATAAAATGTATCTAAATTTTATATCTTTATATTAAATATTTTTTTTTGAAAAATTAAAGATTACATATTTTACATACTAATATTTAAAAAGCTAATATTTAACTTTTATATATTAAGAAAATCTGTTTATACATTGTGATATTATATTTAATGTTTAGTAATAGAACACTGTGAAAAGTTCAATACGAAATAGAAATATCAAACCATAGAAAATCATCGTTCAATGAATGAAATTGATTTTTAAATCTTATATTTACAAAATATTAAAAGTGCGAACAACGTTAACCATAATAAAAATAGAAAACAATAAAAGTTTGGAAAAAAAGAAGAGAAAAACGTAATGTGCTTTGTTAACGTTGTATGAAAAAATTTATTAATTTTTTTTTTGTTTACGAAAAGTTGCTCACATTAATCTTTTAATATTTCGATGTCGAGTTCAGTTTTTATTCAAAATTCTATGTGAAAAAATTATATTTTTTTTAAAAGATGATCAAATAGGGGATTCAATCTTTTCAACTTTTGATAATAGATTGTGCACTACAATATATTAAATTATTATATATTTTAGTATTTGATATGTTTACATATATCAAATAATGAAATGGTAAAACTAAACTTCCAAAAATTTATATTATTAACAAAAAAGTTTACAACAAAATACGAACAGCGATGTTTATAATAAAAATATTAAAAAAAATAAATATTTCACATTTTCAAAGTGTAAAACTAAAAAAAAAATTATAAATAAATTATCCGCGTACACGCGGGAGAGTCACGTAGTTTAAAGGATACGTATACTCTTCGAGCATTTTCCATCGACAATAAACTAATAATACGTTTTATTTTATATCATGAATTTAGAACTGAGTACGTACAAGACAAATAGCAGAAAAATTGTGATGACACAAGTGATGGGTTCTTCAGACAAGACTGCCATATTAATGTTAAAACTTCTCCATGTTTTTTGTAGTTTTGTTCCAAAAAGGGGTTGAGTCTATTGGTCACCTCTTTAACTTTCTCTTTTTATATCTCTATCTTTTTGTCCCCATTTTCCTTATACATGTATTTAACAATTCAACACCAAACATCTCGTGATAGATCTTTGTGTTCTCGTGATAGATCATTTGTTTTCCCCTTTTGTCTTCTACTCACTTAGGTTCCACCCAAATTATCCATCCTATAATCAATGTGTTTTTTTTTTCCTTGTATTCTCAAGTCTCCTCGAGCAAAATCAGAATAATCCTCGATCTCCTTTGTTGCTCAACGTGCAGATCTTGAACCTTAATTAGCATATACTAGATTTCTGTCCCTCGTCAAACGCGGGATTAGAATATTTAAAAATAAAAAATCATAAATATACAGAAAAATTATAAACAAAGATCAAATGGTATATCTTTCATATAAATAAATATATATTATCTTATAAAATTTAATCTGCATGACATTTATATTGAATGTAACCTTCTTTAATGTAAATCGAATACGTTTGAGATTATGGATTATCTCAAATTTATTTGAACTCAACAAATCCAAAAAAATATCGAGTTATTATGTAAATCTTCTTAAATATAAAATCAAAGAAATAATGAAAAGTGAAAATGATGATTTTTGAAATCCAAACATTAACATCTTATTTGTAAAGTTGTACACTTATAACAAAACCACAACTTTAATTATAATAATTTGG